TTTTTTTTTTTTTTTTTTTCTTTTTTTCGTTGTTGTTTTTCTTTACGTCTGCGTGTGTATATGCATAAGTGAATATTCTTTATTTTTCATTCTTTACTTGTAACTCACTCATTTCTTTTTTTTTTTTTTCTTCTGTTTTTATTCTCTCTTCACTAGGCACGGAATACGACTTCCGCAGGACTCCACGTGATGCTGGAAAGAAGACACTATTCAACCTCAGCGGGTGTTGCCCCCTCACAGTCGCGGCAACCACAACGACGTCCATTTTCTGCTGAACGCGGGCGATCACAGCCGATGGGTGCGCAAACAACAACAACAACAACAACGGGAAAAACAACAATGGTAACGCCTTCCCCATTATATAGTCAGCGAAGTCAGTCGGCGAGGAGCCGTGGCTCATTGAGTGGTGGACGACCAACGGGAAATATAACGGGAGAACGCCGTGCTGGGCGAAATGCTGGTGTTTTATTTCCCACCGAACGTCGAGTGAGTTTTATGGACGGAGAACTGGAGGAGGAGGGAATATCATGTGAAGAGGGACGATCCCGCGGGGCATTTCTGTACACCGTCCCCTCGCCATCTAATGTCAGCAGGAATCATAACAAGAACCATAGCAGTAATAATAATAATAATAATAGTAACGGTAATGGCAACCCCGTGCGTCATCTTCTTTCAGAGTTAGTAGAAATTAGTCAGACACTTGCATCGTATTTACAAGATGCCTCAATGCTGACGAAAGAAGTTGTACCTCATAATATTGATGGACTCGCAACCAGTCAACAACAACAACAACAACAACATGCCACTTTGAAGGCACAAGAAATTGAACGTATTGTAAGACGTGTGGAATGTCATTTTGTGGAGAAGATTACTGCCATGGAGCGGAAAGAAAAAGAACAAGCTTCAGAGATTGCAGATCTTAAAAAAGAGATTAGACGACTTTCGCAGGGAGAGGGACGAACAGTTTCCTCACATCATTTATTAAATAATAAAGCAACAGGTTATCAAGTTCCTTACCTTTCTGATGAGAAACAGGAAGAAATTTATCGTGGGAGTAGTAATAGTATTAGCAATTCTATAAATAATACTGGTGATAGCGAGATTGAGTTCTTGCGACGGACACTACAAGAAGAAAAAAGACAGCGACTATTTGTTGAGGAACAAACACAGTCACTCACAGAGCAACATGGACGTGTTGTAAGAACACTTGAACGTCGTCTTCAGAAACAAGAGGATCAGTTACGTGAACTCATTGCATCCTTAGAACACCAGCAAAACCAACAACAACAACAACAACAACAATTCCCATTTGTTTCCTCACCAAATATTCAATCATCCTCTCTGACGGGGTTGACCACACCACGGCGTTTACTTCGACAACAATTGGCACAACATGAACAAACCCATCGCGCACTTGAGGCATATCGTCATAGTGTTGGTGGCCTCAAAAATAAAAATGTACAGGAACGAAATGGAAGCACAGCTGATGGTAAAAGTGAGATAATGAATGGTACTAATGACAGTAAGGAAAAAAAATACAATAACAATAGTGACAATATAGACGGCGATAATAATGATGATGATGATGATATATTCTTTGCAGAACTCGGCCTTGTTAATACGAAATCTATACCAGATGAGATTGATAGGCCACGAGGTACTTCACACACCACACCACACCTTTCCCCTACAAATCTTCATCCTTTTCCCAATAGATCACCCCGAGATCAGCAGCACAGTGTGGATAGTGTACCTCATGTGGTGGACGCTACTGTGGCTAGAGCTGCAGTGGAGATTGACGATATCGCAGCCTTTTTAGACAACATTACACAAGAGTTGGAGAGTATTGATGCTATTGAGAGTGAACGTGAAAAAAAACTCTCAGGAGGAATTAAGGGTCTGTAGTAAAACAGAAAGAAAAAAAAAGAAAACAAGAAAGAAAAATTTGTATTCTGTGAATCCCATTTCTCATATTCTCTCATCGAGTTTGTGTATTTATATCTGTGTGTGTGTATGTGTCTGTGAATGAGAGAGAAGTGAGAAGAGAAATTTTTTTTTTTATTATATTACAGTTTGATTCTGTTTATTTATTTATTTATTCAATAATTAACAATTTTCACATGGTGGATGACTTTGTTTTTCGAGGAATATTTGTCACCAACGGAAACCAAAACAAAACTAAAAGAAAAAAAAAAATAGACTCTTTTCTTTTCCTTCTTTACATCCTTTCTTGTTTTTTTTTTTTTTTGTTTCTTTTTTTTATTCCCAAATAAGGATTTAAGGGGATTAACACTTCAGGGTGCACATACTATTACACTAAAAAGAAAAAAAAAAGAAAAAAGAAAAAAGAAAAACATAAGAAACGAAATAATTAATAATGCACGCCGTGAGTATTTCACTTGGATCCACAAGTGCTGTTGTGGCTGTGGCCACTGCTACTAGTGCTGCAGTAACAACACCAGAAACCGCCGCTCCTATTAGAGTAACAGCCAACTCCGCCGGTCATCGCACCACTCCAGTTATGGCTGCCTTTGCTGAGCACGATGAGTTGCTTTTCGGCGAAGACGCACGGGCCCTTTACGCTCGAACGCCTGAAGTTGTTGTTCCGTATCTTTTTGCGTTTGCTGCTATTGCAGCACACCGTAACAGCTACGGTGATAAAGATAATAGTAATGAGGACAACAAAAGTGCAGAGGAAAAACTTGCCTCTGTGGTGCGAGATGGTATTCAAGATGCCGCGAAAAAACACTATAAGGGATATTGTCAACTTCAACAACAGGAGAATGATTCTACAGAAGATTTGGGATTTGTTTCTCCTCACCAAATTAATGAGGATGATGATGATGATGAAAAACATGTATTCCTTCCTGCAGAAGAAGTACTCGTTTCTTTCTTTAACCACATAAAGAAACATACGATTGATAGCGCTTGTGGTCTCACAGCATCTGCTCAAGATGAGTCACAGCAGCAAGATGAAGAACAACAACAGCTATCAAAGATAGTTCTCACAGTTGTGGTACCTCGTTATTTGTTTCCAGCGGCAGTAACAGCTTGTGAAAATACGATAGGAGATCAAAATGGCGATAAACAATCCAGTAATTCACTACAGTTAAAACAACATAAACGTGATGCGGTGAATTGGGTAAGGGAAGCTATTCTCCGATCCCATTTGGGTGTAGTAGCAGCGCATGTATCTATTCTATTTGCTGATGAAGCGGCTGTATTGGCAATGGATGCCGTGACGTGTCGTCCGTATGAAACTCACCCGATGGCGAATCGTTATTTTCTTCTTCCCGCCTCTGCTGTACCTGAGACCGTTACGAACACAACATTAGCAGAATCAACGGCAGCAGGTAGAAAAGATGGTGTTGAACTCACTTCATGGCCTTCTGCAAATGTTTTGGTTGTGGATTGGGGTGCACTTGGGGTATCATTAACACATCTTCGTATGGAAGGTGGTTGTCTCGTAGATGAGACACGACCACTTTTTCTTCGTGCTGATTATTCAACTTCATCTTTTATTCCTGAAGGTGTAAATGGAAAAGATCTTTCTCTTGCAGCAACATCTTGTGGTGGTGGTGATGCGGTGGATTTGGCACTTCGCGATCGTCTCGCCACAACATTTGCACAACAGCAACGACGCGTTCTGGGTTATCAATCCCTTAGCGACTTTCCCGCAAGGGCACAGCGGCGACTATTACTTACAGCCGAGGAAAAAAAAGTTGCATTAAGTAAAGCTGCACAAGTTCCAGTGGAGATTGAAGCCCTTGCGGAGGGAGTAGATCTTCGCGATAACATGACATTCTCTCGTGTACGAGTGGATGCGGCCATGCGTGGAGAATGGAAACTCCTTGGAGCGTTTGAGGAGGTCCTTCGAGAGTATGTTGCACTTATGGAGAAGGAAACAGATATTGTGATTGATGCGGTTATTCTTTGTGGAGGTATGTTGCAGATGCCGTGTGTTACGCAATCTTTGCGATACACTTTCACACAGTACGCTACAGGAACAGGAAAAGAACGTCGTTGCTTTGCACAGAATCTTGTTATTATGGATTCTAGTTCGAGTATAACACTTACAGGAGAGAGTAATGCTGGCTCTGTTGCTGCATCCCATACCGTAGCGAATAGTGCTAATATTGGAGCAGAGGAGATTGCCTGCGTTGGTGGATGTCTTCACAGTTATCATTTGGCGCTGGCGGCTCTTCAGGAGCGAGAGTGTGGACGTCAAGCACGAGTAGCGAGTGGTTCCGGTAAGAAATCAAAGTCTGCACTTGGTCTTAAGGTGCGAGAACGTATTGAAGGCGCACGTTCTGTATGGGAAGCTCTTACTCGTAGTGAATGTAATAACAACAACAATAAGAGAAGTGGAGATAGAAATGGTGATGGAAGTGATGAAATTTTGGTACTGCAACGTCCAATTCTTTTGTATACTCAATCAACCGTTACGGCACTCCGTTCTGCTGTAGAGCGTCAACAAGAGAAAGGAGGACCTCTTGAACTCCCCGCATCTGCACTCTCTGTACTCTTTTCTGCCCACACACTCCTCCCGGCGCGTGTAGTGGTACCGTTTAGTGGTAAACATGATCAATCATCTGTACTTTACTTTTTCACAGAGGATAAGGAGCAGAAACACAGTTCAAGTTCAAATGATAAGGAAGGAGAAACACCATTATTTGTTCTCCCTCTAAGTAAAAGTGGTTTAACGCTTCCAGCTACAGGAGATGCAGAAGAAGAGAGTGATAAGTGGAGACGTTACATAGTCTTCACACTTCAGTCCCTCACCGACAGCATTACACAATCATCAGAAGAAAAGAATGCGGAAGGTGAGACAACTGAAGTAAAGAAATCATCATCATCTATGCAGTTGGTAGTACAACTAGTTCGTCTTGCCGCAGAGGCCACTGAACCACTTGTGTTGGCCCCGTCTAATATTCAGGCAAGCGTTACTTTAGAGATTTGAGACAATAAATTAAGGGTTATATATATATATATATATATATATATATATATATATGTATATGTATGTATATAGATCCTCTTTCCCTAGAGAAGAACCGCATTAAGTAAATCTACATTAAAAGAAAAAAAAAGAAGAAGGATGAGGATGAAAAGGTAAACGAAAAGGAAAATGTTATAAAGAGATTAACACGTTGACGGATAAGAATCTTGTTCAGCACCCACCCCTCATGACTGTGTGTGTATAGATCTCCTTGTGGAAGTTGGTATGCTTGAATAAAAATAAAATAAATAAATAAAATAAAATAAGTAGAAGTATCATGAATGACTTTGCCTTATATATATATATATATATATATAATTTCTGCAAACATACTTTCTGCTGTACATTATCTTCTTTTTTTTTGTTTTTTTTTTTTTTCTTTCTTACTTCAAACAAACTTGTATCGTTTCTATTAAATTGTGGTTGATCACAAAGGAGAGGGACAGATAAACATTTCTGAACCTGTATATACTCTCTATAGTTGAGTGTGTACTAGAATTTTTGTCTGCATGTTTTAAAGCAACAGCAACAATAACAGGAACAAAAAAAACAATAACAACCAAATAATACAAACATAAAACGAAATAAGAATAGAATGACTAGTGAGCAATCATCTAAATCAGCAACAACCAGTAGTGGAAATAGAAACAACGTTTCTTCTGCTGCTAGTGAATCTTTAAAGAAGCCTGGTATAGCTAACGCAGTACCGAAACCAAAAAAGAATCCTTTTCTTCTACGTTGGTCACATTTTTATAGTACTCGCATTCCGCTGGGTATCCGAGAGTTTGTATTTCTTGGTCCTCTCCTTTTAATTACATTTGGTATAGCATACTACATCCCAGTATTAGTGCCAATAGAGAAATTTACACAAGGTCTCACACCTAATACAACCCCAATGATTGAATATACATTGGAGCCCATGTATGATGAACATGGTGGACTCAAAGGGTATCGCCGTATCACTCGTCGACCAGATGAAGGCCAACAAAGTTCATGATTTTCTATTGGATACCGTGTGGTGTTTTTTTTTTTTTTTTTTTCTTTCTTTCTCTCTTTTCTCAGTCTTGATGGTAGTATCCATAGAAAAAGGAGAAAAGAGAAAGAAAGAAATTGTTCGGAAGATACTTCTCTGTATATTTTCTAGTGGATTATTGTATTCATTCATTCATTATATTTTTCTGCGTTGGTGCCTATTTCTCTATTTTTTTCATTCATGGTGTCCTCACCAGTTTTTTTCTTTTTTCGCTTATCCTTTTTTTTTTTTTCTCCCTATTTTAAAGAAGGAATATTGACAGTAGCAGTTATGCGGCTTACACTTGACATGATTCGTCGAGCTCCGCAGTTCACCAACACACTGCAGCAGCGCGAGATTGACCTCCGTGGTCTTGGTTTGACTGTTCTAGACGAACAAACACTTCTACTGCTTAATGACAGCTTCGATGTGCTGAATCTCTCGCAGAATCCTCTTGTTCGCCTAGAATACTTCCCTAGTGGTAGCAGTAGTGTTATATCAACTGGAGGAAGTGGGACAGTAGAGGCAATGAAGAAAATGATGTTGCGTCTGCAATCTCTTATTGTGCACCGAAACCGTTTGTCACATGTGAGTGAGACAACCTGTGCAGCGGTATTACCGAATTTGCGTGCCTTTTTAGCTGACCACAATGAATTCCGTGAGCTTCGTGATCTATTGTTCCTCTCACACTGGCGTGAGTTGGAGATTCTTTCAATTGAGCACAATCCTGTCACTGTACAAGAAGATGGGGCACGACTTCGAGCGTTTCTTGTCTATCTGTGTCCGAAATTAAAATTGATTAACTATCAGCGTGTGACACAAGTGGATAGAGGTAATGTAGAATCTATGCGGAGTGAATTTCGTAAACTTGTGAGGGAATGGCGTAATCCTGGACAACAAAGACACTCAGAAACCACGAATGGCATTACTCACGGTGCTAATGGTGCTACCACAGAGAGTGCTGAAAGTGGATTGGTGGGTGAGAAGAAAATACGAAAACGTGGACGTGAGGCTCGTATGGCTGCCGCATCCAACAACACTATTAAAGGTGACAGTAGCCATATCACTAGTGGTACACATGATGCGATGTCAGCAACCGCAGTCACTGCCGCCTCTTCTCAGAGTGCCACAGTTCACACGACTGCGCATAGTGATAGTATCTGTGATGATGTGGATGCGACCCAAGCGCGGCTGGAGGCGCTGGAGGCGAAAATGGCCGCCGCCGAGACGGAGGAGGAGTTGTTGGAAGTCCAGCAGGAGATCGCAGAGCTCGAGGCAGCCACTCGGCGGCAACAGGAGCGAGCCACAAAGTCTAAACGAACCCGCACGGCGTGAAGGTAAAATGTGTGTGTTTCTGTATGGGGATGAATGGATGAGATGAGATGAGATTGGATGAAAGATATAACTTTCCTCGATGACAGAAGAGAGAGGGTTTTTCTTTGTTGTTGTTTTTATTGTTTTTTCATTTTGTAAGTCGAGAAGAAGCAAAGAAATAAGGAGAGAGGAAAAAAAAAAAAGAAAGGAAATGGCTACTGAAGAAGTGAGAGGTGACGCGGAGCGAAAGAGAGAAAGAGGGGGGAATGCAAAAGAAAAAAGAAAAAAAGTATATGCATAATATACATATTTTGCCTCCCCCCGTTGATACTTATTCGTACTAACAAAGAAGTATGTTTTTTTTTTTTTTTTTTTTTTTTTTTTTTTTTTTTTTTTTTTTTTTTTTTTTTTAATGTGTATTTTTTCAGATGGTCTCAGTCCTGTA